CGGATATTAGCATGACCTTAGTGTCGAGAGGAATTGAATCAAGGGACGATTGGAGAGATTACATAGAGACTATGGAGAGAGATGGGGAGGTCTTGGCAGACATATGTGACATCTTAAACACTGATGTGTTACAGGTCAAGAAGGAAGTCGAAAAATTGCAAGCAGTCGTGAAGAGCAAAGAGGCACTCGATAAAGGTGGGGCGAACGAGATGCTACCTGTGAGGCGTTGAGCACACAGACATTGCTCATAGAGATGTGTTGCAGGAGACAACGTGTTCGACTGGACGGACGTCTGTCGAAGTCTTGAAGCAACATTCGGGGAACCCAGCGAGGGAGGAATGGGTCGAAGACAGATCAGGTACGGTTGCTTCTCAGTTAGTAACGTATTTGAGAGCGATGGCGTGTAGCGACCCAGGTGTGTTCAAGGGTTCTAGGAATGAGAACTTTAACGAGTTCATAAGAAAGTTTAAAAGAAAGTACGAAGAAGTAGTGAGTTGTGAGGCAACCCTAGTAGACATATTAGGGGACGATCACTTAGCGGGTAGAGCGAAAAACATATACATGGCGCTCCCGAGGAGTGTGAAGGAGCAAGGGTTCAGCGTAGTCGTGGATGAGATGGCTAGATTGCTAGCGCAAGATTCCACCGCGGGCAGGTTAAGAGCTCTGACAGAGTTACGGAACTTGAAGATGCGCCCGAACCAGGACGTCGCTGAATTTTGTGTTGTACTAGAAAGACTGGGTCAGCAGGCAAACCCGGGAGCTGCGATTGAGGAGCGCTCACTGGAATACGCGCAAATACTCTTGGACAACCTGGCCGGATGGCCGGAGCATTTCCAATTGGTAGGCGCGCTGCATAAGGTAGAGCCGCATAGGGCTTACAACGAGGTTAAGCAATTAGCCTTAAGCATAGAGCAGTCGAAGCTCATGCTAGCTGCCAATAGGAGGGCGGCTGGGGCAAGCTGGAAGAATAGGTCCGCACATTATCGCGAGAACAGAGCGGACAGGGAATTTGATCATCCAAGGGATCTTGGGAGACAGGTGTCACCTAGAAGCGAGGTGCACGGACTGGAGGACAGGGGACTCCATGACAGTGCACACGCGCCTCATCGCTCCAATAAGACTATGCCAAGCCAGGGCACTAGCGAGAGCAAGAAATGCTATAGCTGCTCGAGGTACGGACACATTAGCCGCGACTGCCCGCAAAGAAAGGCTAGGGTAAACCAGATCGGACACAAGGAACAAGCGCAGGTAAAAGAGAAGGCTACGGTGTCCAGAATAATCGAACAAGCGCGAAGCCTAGGTATGGCAGTGAAGAATGCAAGAGTCAAGAGAAGTGCTCTGATTGGAGATCGCGTTGTGGTATCAATAAATTTGCTTGGATAGAAAGAATCAGGCACTGGTAGACACTGGATCAATGATTAGCATCTTACCGGTCGACATACTAAGGAAGGCTCAGGACAGTGGGTACGATGTGGATGCTCTGGAGTTGGTAGAGGAGTCAAGTCTCAGCCCCGTCTTTGATGCATCAGGAAATAGAATGCACTTTCTGGGAGCAGTCATAGTAGAAACCGAACTGCATGGAGGAAATCGGGAGAGAGTCGCCTTTCACATCAGTAAGGGAAAGGAAGAGGAAATCATATTGGGCACCAATGCTCTTGGTAGGTTGGGAATCGAAGTTTCCATAATCGGAAACCAAGAGGGAAAGATACAACAGAGAAAAGAAGAGGACAGAGGAGATGTGACAGTGAAGGAGCGTGTGTATGTACCGCCTCGTAGGGTCGCGCTCGTATCAGTGCTATGCAGTGGTGACCGTTTGGAAGAGGTGGAGCGAGTGATTTGGCCTACCAAGGAGGGGGTAGCAGCCGGCGTGTACAGTATCCGAAATCAGGAAGCGGTTGTGCCTGTCTTCAATAATAGTGATGAAGGGCTGGTCCTCAAGCAAGGCGAAGAGGTAGGGCGCTGGGGCACCGACAAGTGGCATCAGCGATGGGAAGAACTCAACCCACTGAAGATGGATAATGGAGAACACATGTGGCAAGGACAAGAAAGACTGGAAAGACTAACAGAACTGATTGAAATAAACACAGAAGCAGGGCATCTAGATGAAGGCATACGGCATTTGCTAACATTACATTCGGATGCGTTTGCAGTGTGTGAGAGAGAACTTTCTCAGACAGATATGACAGAAATGACTATCGATACGGGAGACAGTAGCCCTATAAAAATGAAAGCAAGACCCGTTCCGTTAGGGATCAGACCGAAATTGAAAGAGCTTTTGACAGACTTACTAGATAGGAATATAATCGAAAAGAGCAAGTCGGAGTGGGCCTTCCCTATAGTTCTAGTTGAGAAAAAAGATGGTTCCATTCGATTGTGTGTGGACTATAGGGAACTCAACAAAAGAATAAAATTAGACGCCTATCCACTTCCAAACATTGAAGCTAACGCGGCGAGTTCCTAGGCAGAATACTCGGACTGATTGGCGCGAACTGCGGTCGGTTGAACACTCCGTGAGAATACTAGTCACCTTAGACGACTGCTACGAAGCTTTATTAATGAATACAGCGAAGACTACGCAGGAATAGTTGACGATTGTCCAGTCGATGATAAACCAATCCACCGTCAGACGAACTCGGGAGCAGTCCACTACGCGGGAACCTTCCAAGAGCCAAAGAGCCCCGATTCCGTGGGCGAGTGCCTTTTATCCATCGCGCTGGAATCTTGTTCATCTTCGCAG